GACGCGAACCATCCGCTAACTTTGGCAATTGCACTTGGGCACATGCAAGTTGCGAGGTTACCGATGATGACCTACCTCCTGCAGCTTGTCGCAAACCAGCAACTTTCGCACCGAAGACTGAGACATGAATGAGTCTCATAACTTACCACTGCCCCAGGTAACAGCTCTTGAAGGAATGGGAGATTTCGAAGAGTTGCAGGCAAGAGCGTATCCTGGCAAGCATAGGACCGAACCCCTTTTTGCTTGGCTTGCCGCCACGACACTGACGAAAGTCCGAGCCCAGGTTTCAGAAAATCAAGGACGCCACTTCCAAGTGCAACCGCTGGATGTCGGATCAGCGTGCAACTGTTCTCGCATGTTTGAGCAGCTGTCCGTGCACGCCTCGTTGCTTCGTTGACCAATTGAACGTGCGTCACCCGTGCCTTTCGTTTTTTTCTATTTGCTCGCCTTGCACCTGCGAGCAATATCGCTCCACGGCAGGGCATGGGGCAATGTTAATTACACACTTCTTCGAAAGCATGTAAGACTGCTTCATGCAGGATGAGCAGCAGAGGAAGGCAGCGTTGTTAGCGTCAGGCTTCCTCATGGCGGCTTGGCTGTTGATTTGTCTGCAAAGGCTTCCACGTACAGCAAGTTCTGCTCCTCCTAGGAGAAGAAAAGATTAGATGAGGCGGACGCAAAGGCAGGGCTGCGTCGATTCGCGCCATCTGAATAGGGCCTTTCCGAGACTCATCGCTCACTGAGATCGCGGCCCTAGAGCAGCGGCTCAAGGACTACAAAAAAGCTCAGGCGCACGGGCCGTCCACACGGACTCACCGGAATTCGGAGAGGGCCGAGATCGTCCACACCAGGCAGATGCCATCCAGGCGCGGAAGAAAGAGAACGCCAAAGCTCAGGACGATGGTAGTTCTCTTGCCTGCCTTTGCAGTGATGTAGTGGAGCCTGCAGAGATCGAAGGTTTCTAGTCGAAACTGTTGAAGGAGAAACGGCAGCAAGGCATTCAGAACACTGCGAAGAAACGTGCGCAGTGGGAAGACGAGACGTACACCAATCTGGTGAATCGAATCACGCAGGCGCACCTATTTTGCAATGCACGCTCCTGGAGCGCCATGCGACTGCCGCAGGCCAGAGCCGCCCGAGCAAAGTCCTACTCCAAGGCGGGCAATTCTAGAGGCAGACTTCGGAACTGCACAGATGCGCGTCCTTTTGAAAGGAAGGGATGAGCAATGCCATTGAGATTGGAATTCAGCGGCGGCAGAAGTGTTTCGACCAGGCAGAGATTCTGGCATTGTCGGCCCCATTTCGTGAATATGAACATGTGCGTTTTTGGCGACACTGTCGCAGGCTCTTGAGCGCGAGAATGCTCTCCTGGAAAGCATAGAGGCCGCCAGCCGGACGGCAGAAGAACGCTTGCAGGCGCTGTATGGTGATGCTTCACTGAGCTCGCTTCCACTTGCTTCGATGCCAGGTCCGACGGCAAGAAATAGAAGATGAATGTAGGCGAAAGGCCGAAGAGTCGCAGGCGCCAAATAACGCAAAAATTGCAGTGAAGCCACGGTGCGCAGCTTGATGCAGGCTAAGTTCCAAGAGAGGCAGATCAAGATCTACGCTCAAACGCAGGACGCTTTGCTGAAATTTTTGCCACGGTTGGATTTGGGGGCCCGTCACCACAACCCAAAGCTGCTGTACGCAGAGTCAGGAGCAGTTAGGAAGATTGATAGAAGCGAGGACTGGGTGGAAAAGAAGCTCGAGGACCACGCGCAGTTCAAGGCCTCGGCGGCCTCGGGGTGTGCGCGAGTCGCGGGTGGATTTAGTGCTTGGAAGCAGACGCGTCATCTTCGATTGAACTGAACGAACGCGGGCAAGCGGCAGGCGAACTACAAAAGTCGTTGCCAAGCGGTGACCTCAGTGGAGAAGGTATAGTATGTTGGTGCCAGACTCAGCTGTTGCATGCACGGTGCAAGGCTGGTCAAGATTTTCTGAAAGCTCGATCTAAATCAGCCGGTGAGATCACAAAGAAGGCTTGCCTACTTCGTGGTAATTCGGCAGCGTAGGTGCCGAACACACTCCGAAGCATCACGGTTCTCACCGTGCAGGCGCATGAAAAATGGCGGGCAAACTACAACAAAGTCGTTGCTGCACAGAGCCAGGCAGGATGAAATTGCATTCTGCGAAGTGCGGTAAAACGTTCAAACTGTCGCTCCAAACCTTACCCTAAACCGTAAACCCTAAACCGTATCCCAAAACTGCCTAAACCTTGTCCCAAAACTGCTTAAAACCCGGAGTACTTAAAATCCGATTCGCAGAACAACTCGAACCTCTTGGCGCGACAAGAAGCTGCCAGAGTCCGAGCAGAGGCATGGTGCTTTGATCCGTGACTTTGCTATACACTCTCTATATACGATTCCATTACTGTATCGTACATACTTTTTCTATAGTATCATAGTATGGAGTATATCGTATCAAGCAAAGAAGTGTATAGTATACAGTATATAGTAACAGTGTGCGTAATATGGTGTGTAGTATCTGGTATCTAGTGTCTAGTATCTAGTATAGTATGTAAGAATCTAGTGTCTAGTATCTAGTATCCAATTTCTAGTATAGGCACTGGAGAGCCAGAGGGAGCGTGAAAAGCAGGAGACGATGGCATTGAAGCTGAAGTGTGCCAATGACGTCCACTCCTTCAAGGAGGCTGCAACGTCCGAGTGGATTCCCGTACAGTTCTAGATGCCAGCATGAATCTAAGCAGATTGCGCCAGAGGTGAAGTACAAGACGTGGGGCGAGCTTCAAAGGCATCCAGCTCTTCCCAGACCGCTTCCGACGGAAAATGCCACATCGTTTCGCAGGCGGCGCATGGAGGAGATTCAAAAAGCCAGGGATGTCAGGGCCACGGGCTGCCGCACCCATCCGTTGCATCTTGCGAGTTCTCGTTCAGCGAAGGCCCAGTCGCAAGCTTTGGTCATCAAGATTGCGGAGGGACAAGCCAAGGCCGAAGATCGAAGATCCTTTCAGACCCAACTTCTCAAGTGCTTCCCCAGATTCAATCGGGTTAAGCTTGATTTGGTACAGCCTCCGTGTTGGAACAAGCAGATACCGAATACTAGATGGCGAGCTCAGACGAACAGCTGCAGAGTGCTTTTGACGGGGACTGCGTCACGACCCTTGCCAATGCAGCTCTTCCCATGCCGGAGGCTCGTGCAAGAGAGGAAGGAGCCATGGAGGTAAAGAACCGCAGACAAAGACTAGGAGCGGACACGCTGGCTCGGCGCTGAAACGTTTGAATACGAGAATCTGACTTTGACATGGTGCTCGTGGCTCGTGACGTGCTGTGAGGCTCTGAACGACCGCGCCAAGGAAGGCTTCATCAAGATCAAGTGTGAGCCAGATGAAAGGCCGATACTCCGAGCCTCGTGTTCCCTTTTCCCAGTGTGATCCTGAAAATTGTGCGGAGGAGGATCATCAAGGTAATGAGCGACCTCGGCTTTGAAATGCCCAGATTGCCAGATGAGGTACACTCTACCGTGCCTTCGCAGGGGTCCGGTATTTGGCACATTCGCCGCGGCAGGATGAGGACGAGGAGGGTGAGAAGAAGGCGTTCTGAAGGAGTCAGGCAGATGCTGCGGCTTGGCCTGTTCAAGTTCAGCTTTGGAAATATCGCAACCATGTTTGGACCTAGTGCATTTACTGCTTTCGTGAAGAGCCGTGACTTTCTGGGCTTTCGAGGATGCTGAAGGCACAGCTTGACAAGCCGCGCCCCAAAGTGTTTCACCGGGTCATGGCCGAAGTTGCATGATCACCCAGTCACCCAGAGATGAAAGCTACATGCTCCGCGTGGGGAAAAGAAGGGATTCTGCAGACTGGTATCGTCTCATGCCCTGAGACCAGGCAGTGCGCAGTTTTTTCAACGTCCAGCTGTGTCGTATGCATTTACCTAGTAGAGCATGAAAGGGAACTTCAAGCACAAGGGCGTCAGTTGTCTAACCAGTCTGGTGCACTCGATCAGGCTAGCTACTGGAGGCACCTGATCGAGGATAGCTCTCGAGGGAAGAAGGCCCTACCGATTGACCTCGCTGAGTTTCTTTCGTAGTCTCGTATGTCTCTTCAGAGTTGAGATTTCACGGCGCAGTGTAAGCAAAGATCCGTCTTGGCCTCTGTAGCTGCATCATGACGCTGAATCTGCTGTCAAGTTAACTGGCTTTGGCAGGAGTGCAGGAGGCTCCACTGTGCAAAGGAAGCCCAGGAATAAACGAACCCAGCAAGCTCACGAATTCCAGTTCCGACAGTAGCAGACGGTGGACAATCCTCAAACCGTGCTGTGACAGGGATAGGTGGAAGGAAGAAGTGAGGATTCGAGAGAATACTCTGTCGAAACTGTGGATTCTCAAAGACAGCCGAGGGCTATCACAAGGAAGTGCCCAGGGAAGTCAAGGTTTGCGTGCACCTCGTCTTTCTCGTCGGGCTTAGTGAATCAAGCCTCTGTTGAAATCTCTTGGGAACGAAAGCTTTCTGCGTCAAAGAGCGATGCAGAAGCGAGTGTCGCAGTTGGTTTCTTTAATGGTAAGCACGGGTAGCCTGTTTGGTCTCTAAGATCAAGCGTATTCCCAATGCGTTTGATCCGTCGTTCGCGCTGTCTTGAAATTTCGTTTTTCTCAAGGGCGCTGCCGTATCTGATAGTTCTGGAGGTTCTCTTCCTTTAGGAAGTTCTCTCGCCTGTTGTGTATTTGAAGAGGTTCATTGAATGATTGACCCCTTCAAGACGTCATTGCGTGCAGCAGCGAGCCAACGACCCTCGGTTGGGGATCCTGCACCTGAGCAATCCCAGGCATCCAGAGGTCTTTCTGTATGACAGCAGCCGGGTTGCTGCCCGTTGCTACCCGGTGTTGGGGCTTGCTGCACCCACACGCGAAGGAAAATACCCAACCAAAATTCAAAAATGACGGAGGAAAGAGGAAAGGTGAGCTGTGCTGGCGCTCCAGGAAAGGCTCGTACTTGGATGTGGATGCGGAAGATTGATAAGGCATGCCGAGGAAAGCAGCCAGAAGTGTTTGTGCAACGGCGGTGTGTTGCACCGAAAATCGAAGCACAACCATCACATACGCTGAGTGAGCTTGCATTTAGCCATTGCGAGGTTCGAAGAGCCATCAGGTACGAAGTCACCTTACGGGAGGATCCAGAGGCGATGTCTCCAGCTGCTTGCGCTTTCCGTGAAGCCTTGAAACAACCACACCAGGATACGAATGGAGCTCGGATCCACGACACACGCAACGAGGGGTGCCTCGTGGAGATGCTGGGTAAGAAGAAGCACCTTCGATGCAAGCGCTTCAGAGGGTATCTCCAGTGGAATTTCAGGAATTGACATTCGAGTCTCCCATGAAAAACAACAAGCCCTTCTGTCGAAATGCATTCGTCGCAGCACCAGGTGGGTGGGCCACCAACATTATGATCCTCTGGTGCAGCGCTGGCCACATGGTGATGCGAAGCTTTACCACTTGAGTCGGCACAGGACTTCCTGCACGAACACGGAAAGCCTGAAATTCAGCCATTGAGCACGGCTTTTGAGCAGGATCACTGCAGAACCAGATGAAGACAATCGCGAGCTGCGCAAGTGCATGCCTTGGCTGAGAGACTCAGAGTGGCTGAAAGTCTTGCGAAAAGGTGTGACAATGTGACGTGGTGTGCTCGCCAGGAAGAAGCAAACCCGAACGGACACTCACATTTCTGAGAGTCGAGAGCCACTCCGCTTAAGGCGCGACGACTAATACTTCCAGTAGCAAGAGAAGTCCGATGGTGCCTCTGGAAGTTGAGAAGGAAGCTTATTGTATGTCCAGTGTGCTTAAGCCGCATCATCAGTGAACATCTGAACATCGAGCAGCTTAGCAGGCTTAGCAACGTCTCACGAGTCTGTGTCCCCAAGGGACTGAACAGGCCCAAAGTTCAGCCAAAGGCGCAAAGGGGCAGCCTTGGAAGCCGAAGGACAAAAGACAGCGGCACATCGCGCTGATGCTTGCCTGCATGTTGGCGAATTCGTTTGAGAGTGAACTGTTCGTCGCTTTTTCTCAAAAAGCGAGGAGGCAAGATGGAAGTGATTCCTAAGCTCACCTCTGCCACTCTGGACTTGCAGGCGACATGTAAGGACGCAACGGAGCAAGAGGGAAGGACATTGCAGGACGAAGACCATCCAAAACCTAGTGCTCAAATGTTTTCCTTTGCTCGGGCTCGGCTGCCCCAAACGGCGGCTGCAGAAGCCTCAGTCAAGATCAACTTCTGCCGATTGTGCTGTCCACATGAAGATCTGACAGAATTCTGTCATGGTGCTTGCTTAGATGGCTTTTCTGTGTCTTGTGATACAAGCCAATTGTCGTGGTAGTCCGTGGAAGTGTCGCAGTGCTTCTGTTCAAACCTGTTTCTCATGTGCACACTGGCTGCCAAGACAGCTTCTTCGCCGCTCCTCTCAGTGCAACCATGCCGCTGACATGATAACAGGTTGTGCAGGAAGCCTGGCAGTGCATGCTGCCGGGTTCCCGTGCATTCGGTACAAAACGCGTCAGGCCTGTTTGGGCCGGGCTGGGCAGAGCTACGGTAGCTCGCTTTCTGGACTTTGCAAGCTAAGAATGTCAACATCGCCGGCCTGGCTTCTTGCTGTCACAAAAAAGACTCACGGAACTGCAGCGCCAAACTGACATCATCCGACCCTCGCCTCCTCTCTGGTCCATGATGTGGCAGCAGATTGCAGAAACGACAGGGTCATAGAGAGCAGCTGCAGGTGTGTCAGGGTTCGAACAACTTGGTCCGGGAACTCTCTCGCCTTCTGGGGTTCTCTGCACTTCTCTGGGGTTCCAGTCGTTCAGGGTACCACTCACTCCTTCAGGGTTGAGTTTCCTGGAAGCCAGTCACTCTGTTTAGGGTTTATGTTTAAGGCTTAAAACGGTTTGTGAGAACGAGACGCTTCGTTTAGGATGTTGGTAGTACTCAGTATCATTCAGCATTCATCGTTTTAGGGTACTGGGCTTGCCACCCATTCTACTCCTGCTAGGGTCAGGGTGCGGGGCAACCACTCACTCGAATTAGCTAGCCACTCTGTTTGGAATTCCGAAATGACACTCCTTGTAGTGTTTTCCGAACTCGTCCGGAACGCTAGCTGATCCGAGCAGCGGCCTGCATCTCCGCTTCAACCCCCCGCTGATCGGAATCATCGATGCACGAATCTGATTGTCGGATCTTGCTCCCCCATCCCCCTCATCCAGAACACGTGAGCTGTTGCTGCAGGGTTTTGCCGGGGAATCTGCCGTCCAGTGCGGGGCTTGCAATCACAGCTGGAAGACTTCAGAGCCCCTGGAGCCGACCTAGTGCTTTTAAGCCTTTGGCCTCAGCATTCTGCGAAGCATCAGCCTGGGAGGCAACGGCGACGGTCGCGTGGGCGCATCATCCAGCTCAAGGAGACTCACTACGAGCCCAAACCAGAGGCAAGCGCACCACTGCTGCCACCGCCACCACTGCCACCACCACGAGGACCTAGCCTAGTAAGACCTCAGATTTCGAGAGTTGACACCAGGCATGATCAAGCTTGGACTGGAAGTCACTGGCTTCAACTTTTGATGTGAATGCATGGCAACACCCGGAAGGGCTATCAGTCTTTGCCGATGTCACTGCTGGCTTCGGGGCCGATACGGCGAGTGCTGAGCACAAGATCTGCCGAGGCTGCCAGTGTCCCTGCGCTGAACGCTGTCGGTTTTGCATCATGTCTTCCTGCCGCAGGCCGGGCGTCTTGCTGGAGCGATCGACTGGGAACGGTACAAGTGTGATGTCAAGGACTTTGCGCCCGCAAAGGATAATGCTACTCCACCCATGTGCATCGCAGTGAAGCTTCAGGGTGTCCGCTGGCACGCAAGCGGCTGGAAGCTGAGACGAGACCTGACAAGCAATTGCACCTTGAGATCTGCCGCAGCCTCTGAGTGCGAGGCGCTTGGCGAGTACTGTTCAACAAGAAGGACTATGAACACAACTTCTTTGTAAAGTTCGTGCCTCAAGGAGTCGAAGACCCCCCGCGGGCACAGGCCTTCCTTCAAGTTTGCTGTGTTTGCTTCTTTATAAGGTGCAGCTGCTACTTCAGAGTGCCAATTTATGGGTACCGACCTTGGGTCGCGATGTGCTCCGAGCAGTACCGAGAGCAGTGCTTGCAGGTTTGACCGTGCCAAAGAGCTGGCAATTGCATACAGACGGTACTGTCCTTACACTTGCACTTCTATGCGTTAGCATGCAGTCAAGACTCATGAGAGCGATATTATAGCGACTTCGGCAGGATTGCAGTCCTTTCCCGTGCTAGGCGGCTGGAATCAGAGTGGGACGAGCAGCTGAGAATCTGGGCGCTTGTCCCGGAACCCTTCATGTTTCCTCATGTTTGCTTCTGGGAAAGTTTAGCTCGAATATGCTGGAATAGTCTTGGCTCGATTAGCTTATGCTGTGCCAAGGCGGATCTTGACGAAAAGCGCGAGCAGCAGCGAGCAGCGAGGTGTTCACCTCAGGAGTGCGTAGTCGTTGTAGCAGCCGCCCCTCCCCCTCAAGAATCGTAGCCACAAAGGGCCCCCCCTTGCTTGCTGCCTCTACACGCAATACTCACTCGACCGGACGTGTCTTTAATCCCCAGCCAGGCTCTGAAAACTTAAATTCGGTCGTGCATTGCTCTCGCCGTAGCTGTGCTCACTAGATCAATCTCGGAAGAATCAGAAAGTGCATTCTGCGTTCCCTCCTGCCAGCTGCTCTTACACGGGAAACGCACAGCAGCACATTGAGGCGAGCTGAGCGAGCGCTGATGATGGAGCAACAGGAGCAGACGCACATGGTTACTCTTTCAGATCACGTCGTCGTTCTGTCAGGACCCTGCAGAGCGGTCAATTTATGGCACCGAGGACGTTGGCACACAAGACGGTGGAAGACACACAACAGTCTCGCGTGCCACCACATGAACCCATCCGAACGATGCCACAACCACTGCTGCTCCAGAAAAACCCAAGCACTGTAGACGTTTGAACAGCAAGTGAAGCACATCAGCGCCCCAATATTACCATGTGGGTTTAGTGCGTTTTGCATCAGATCTGCAGTTGCAGGATGAGCCGACGGCATCGCTTGAGGCGCCAAAGCCGGACAGAACTCTCCGGTAACCTTCCCTCGGCCTCGACAGCAAAAGATTCATCGACTGAAGTTGCTGTTCCCATCTTATGCTATTGTACTGGATAGCTGGTGAGACCGTAAGTTTCAAAATCCAAGGGAACATTTCAGCTTCCAGATAAAACAACGTCGATGGAACATTATACTCACATCGGCTGATATGAACAAAACGAAAGTGCCAGTTGCGAATCAAGGAAACCGCTTGAACATCACTTGAACGTCGGGTTTGCATTCAAAAGGAAAACCGCTGGACAACCAAATGAGTATTTGTTGTCCTCCAATCTAGAACCGCAAGACCGCTTGAAACCTTAACCTCCAGGTTCGAAATCCCGGCTTCAAAACCAAACAAAGAGCATCAAGTGGCCGCGCCACAGCCCCGAGTCTAAAGTTCTAAGGCCTGATCTTCGTCTAAATGTACATGAACAATAGCAACTTACTTTTTTGTTGGAAACCGATTTTGATGGCCAACCTAGCCCAACCCAGCAGCGTTTTGTGAGTTACTATGCTATCGAACCAGAATGAGCACAACGACACCACGCGAGATCAACAGCGGCCACACCATAGCCCAGATCTTTCAGAATCCTCGAGCCGAATACGCTAACCGTCAACCCTAAACACCTAGACTGAACCCCACACCACACATTAAGCCTGTTGCTTTCTCAATCCTGACAGACAGTGAGTCGAAGAAATCAAGGGTGAAGCGTGCTAACTAGTCCCGTATGTCAAAATCAGAGCCTGAACATGAAAAATATTAACAAACACAATCGACCCTGCCTCCTCCGTCCTGAGGTGAGCAGTCAGACATGTCTCAGCAATTGTTCAACGACTTGCGGACTACTTTAGCTTGAGTTTTTAGCCTGCTCAAGGTGCCTGCCCTGCAAAAACCTCGCTCCACGTGACCCGTTTGATTTTTTTGCGAAATTTTCCATAGCCATGCATATCTAATGCAGTTTGACTTGCAGTTTAGTTGCGCTTTCATTTTTTGGATGGTTTAGAGTTTTGGATTTAGCTCTGAATCGTTACATAACCCCAAACCCTATCCTCTCAGCCTCGAGCCGTCCTGCCCCTACTAAAGCCTGCCCTGTGTATCATCCGAGGCCTCCGAGCTTTTGCTTCAGTTCCAACAGTATGATACAGCTAGACACCAGAGACAGCAGTCAGGTCGTCGGATTCACACTGAATCAGTTGGACTCAGTGCAGGCTAATTGTAAGTTCAGAAGAGATTTCAGAACCGTATCACATGTATGTATCTATTTCTGTATCTACTAATAGACATTATGTGCTCCGTGTATATATACATAGACATGCGCACACACACACAAACGCTCGTTATAGGTGCAAGCTGGTCATCTAAGTAGATAGGTGCCTTGCTCCCGCAGTCGAAGCATGGCCTCGTCGAGACTCTCTCGAACAAGGAGACCAATTCCTGCCAGTGAGCATCTAATTCGGAGGATCCCAGCCTGATCTTTCAATGCGATCGCATGGACACCTGTGACGCGGTACCTTTGCTATCCCATTTTACGTTGCAAGTTGTCGGGGCCATAACTGGTGATGTTATATGTACAGTGGACGCCGATGGATCCTGGTATTTGCAAGATCTGAAAGTTGCCATTCAAAGCGTGTCTGGCATACCTACACATGAGCAGAGATTGCTGCAAGTTGGGGGAAAGCCAATCGCAAACGAAGACAGGCACTTGTCAGAGATTTTAAAATGCCAACATGACTGGAGCATCGCTCCAAAGGTCTCTATAGGCCTTGTTCGCGCAGATGCAGAGAGGACAGCTGCACTGGAGCACTTGGCCATCGGTGGATCCCTGACGCAGTTGAAGGAGAGCTACCGGGGAGACCCGGAAGTTGTCCTGACAGCAGTGCAAAACAACGGTAGTGCCTTTCGGCACGCTTCCGACCGACTGCGAAGTGACAAGGACTTCTTGCTAGCTGCAATTGAGCGAAGTTGCGATGTTCTTTGCTATGTTTCAGACGAGTGGAGATGGAACCGTGATTTCGTTTTGGAAGCCATCCACCGCAACGGCACGGTGCCTCGGCAAGCAAAGTGGCATGAAGCTTTGGTGCACTTTCGTGGTTGGCACATGTTGACCGTCAGGGAAGGAAGTTGACAGTGTTTTGATTGCTTCCGATCGCTTAGGCTCTCTGCTACGCATCGACTGAGCTTCGAAGCGACCGGAACTTCATTCTAGCGGCCGTCGAGCGCAATGGTATGGCGCTCTGCTATGCAGACATGGAGCTGCGAAGAGACCGGAACTTCGCACTCGTGGCAGTGCGCAAGAGTGGTCTCGCTCTCCGATACGTGTCGGAGCAGTTGCAGCGTGAGCGGGACTTCGTCCTGTCTGCAGTGCAATTAAATTCTGAGGCACTTAGATACGCAGAGGAAGATTTTCGCTGTGACCCGGAACTGGTCCTCGCGGCAGTCCAAAACGATGGAACAGCCCTTGGATTCGCATCGGAAGCCTTGCGTTCAGATCCCTCCTTCGTGCGCAAAGCACTCCAGCGCAACGGAACTGCTTTGCCCTACGTGGCCGAAGACCTGAGGGAGGACAGGCAATTTCTCATGAAGACCTTGATGCTCAATGGCGATGTTCTGAAGCATGCAGCAGAAGCATTTCGCCGCGATCCAGAAGTCGTCTTAAAGGCCATCAGCAGCAATGGAGCTGCCATGCGCTATGCATCGCAGTCCCTCCAGTTAGATCTCAGCTTCGTCCTTCGAGCTGCAGAGACGAATGCTGCCTCTCTGCAGTATGTGATGGAAGACTTTTGGCACAAGAGGGACTTTGTCATGAAAGCAGTGGAGGTGCTTCGGTGGCTTGGCCTTGCTGTGCCGAAGCCTGTGACCTGTTCAGGTCACCGGATCGGCACTTCGCTTTGCCAGCCCAGAGCTCTTGAAGTGCCGTGACTTTCTGATTGCTGCAGTTCGAAGGCATGAGGGGGCTGCATGCGGCTTAGTCGCAGGGTTGATGGGTCAAGAGCGCAGGAACAGCTCAGCCCTCCACTTTGCCCCCGATGAGATTCGTGCTGATCCAGAGGCCGGTCGAGTCGGCAGAATATGGTTTTGCCCCCCACTGGAGCCGCAGAGAGGTCGTACTGGCTGCAGTTCAAGAGAACAGCCAAATCTTGAACAGTGTTGATGAGGCCAGGCGGGGGCGACTGCTAGGGGCCTACCCACCTCAGCCATGAGTGTTCGGGTTGCAGGGCTTTCGGCGTGACCGGGACTTCATCCTCTCTGCTGTTCAGCGCAATGGTACCGCCCTGGCATATGCATCTCGGTAGCATGTGACGTTCGACAGACAGGCGGGTGCAAGGACTCATTTGAGACGGATTGATGATTGACATGCCCTTGTCAAGGCCGAAGCCTGCCTCCGCGCCGACCGCGAGGCAGGCGAGAAGCAGCGAATGATCAGGCCCGAGATTCCGTCCCGCCAAGGTGGTCCTGGCAGCAGTGCAGAGTGTCGGAAGCAAAGACTAACGAAAATCTTCAGTTCCCATGTCGCTTGACCCACTACTGGTCGAATCTCCAAGGACGGGGCAGCTCTCTCCTTTGCTTCCGAGGCCAAGTCAGAGCCCGTCCGAAGCTTGCAGGATCGCAGCTCCGTCGCAGGTGCTTCAGATGGATCGGAGCTTTGTGCTTGCAGCTGTCGGTCGGATGCTCGCCGCCATCGCCACCCCCTATTCTTACGGTGTTGAAGCTCGCCAGAGCCCTGCAAGGTCGCAACAGCAAGGCCGGGCCCGGACGTCTTGTGTGGCTTGCTGTGAGAGCAGCCTCTCTCGTGATTGCTTTTGTCCTACCCACGGTGCCCTTTGCGGGCTTAGGGACTCATGAGTGGAGGGATGCTGTCAAGCATTTCATGGGAGGCACTTCTGTTTGCAGTTGGCATCTAAGTTATCCCGAGCCGGCCGGTGCATGTCCGTGCGCACGGGCGGTGCTCCGTACCGAGGCCTCCGAGTGGCGCGAAGACTTTGCCTTTGCTCTCGAGGCGGTTGGAAGGCGCATGCCTAATGGATCTCTCCCGTGATCTGACGACCTGGGCATGCAAGAAGCATCGTGCAGGAATGCATCGTCGTTGCTCTTCTTGCCACGCTTCCAGGAGGCCTTGACATGGAGTTTTTGAAGCATGCGGTTAGTCCGAGATGACGAGATGCTTCTGAAATCGCAGGATCATGAGTTTTTGCTAGCGGCCGTGGCCCGGAATGGCGACACCTTTCGGTATGTCGACGAGCCTGAGCCTCACATCATCTCACGATGAGACATGATCTTTCTTCACGCTCTTCATCCGGGCTCTGTAAGCTCTTCCGCAGAACTCTGGGGTCTGGACTCGAGGCTTTTCCAGAATGACCAGCAGCTAATTCTTGCAGCCGTCGAATCTGCGTTTGCCTCAGACCTTTAGGTGAAACTCGTCGTAAACGAATTGTCCGCTGTGACATTTTGACAGCTGGCCCTGTCGCACTTTTTTGTCGACTTGTGTGGAAGGCCTGACAGCAGGCAGTTGTGTTGAGCGTAGAAGCGCGGTTGGAGCATTGCGATTCAAGCAACTCGAGCACCCGGAATGCAAGCACTTGACGTGTTCCGGACTTTTCGGCTTCGGCATTCACGGTCTGTAGGTGTAGGGCTTCGGGGTTTTAGGGTTTAGGGTCTTGTTTTTTTTTTTTTAGGGTTTTGTTGGGTTTGGTCAGGGCTCGAATAGGGTTTGGGTCTTGAGGGGTTGCAGGTTTTGAGGTCCAAGTTGCTGAGTTCTTGGTTTGAAAAGGGAGCTTTGGGAGTGAGAGGTTTGGGGATGTGATAAGGCAAGGAGAGCTCGGGTCTTGAGGGCTTTAGGGTTGAGAGTCTAGGGCTTTAGACTCAGAGTTTAGGGTTAAGGCTTTCTAGGGCTTTCTGGGGGTTGAGGGCTTTACGGTTTCGGGTTTTGGGTTTTTTAGGCAGCTGTTAAGCTAGAAGTTTCAAGGTTTTGGCTTCAGGGTTTGGGGGTTTTGGGTATCGACC